TCCCTGTGAGCAGGGTGAAAGCATTTGCTTTTTTTTTTTTTGTTGTTGTGGCCTGCAGGGCTTTTGCCGATCTCGATGGCCATGTCGGAGTTGATTATCCTGGGTGATTGGCGTGAGTGCATGGCATACCCTTTTCCCCCATGCGCGCTGCGCGTCTCCGACAGTGGAAACTCAACTGTTATTGACGGTGCGACAAGAGACGAGATGGAGTGTGATCCTTGGATGAAGGTCCCCCCGTTCACTGATGCTCCCCTGGACTCGTGGAAAGAGCATAAATGGGACAAAATGCTCAGGGAGTGTCCGTGGGCGGACGACTACAAGTTCGCTAACATGTGTGAGTTTGGGAGTTTCATTCCCGTGCCTAGAGTTGTCCTGGGTTTAGTTTGGTGTCGTTGCTTGAGTGCAAAGCTGAATATTCCTCGTCATCAAAATGTGTTGGTCTGCAGTGTCGTGACTGCTTCACCGCTCACATGGTCTCGTGCGCTGAAACACGAGTTGCTTGCCTGTGCACGACATTCCAAGTTCGTCGATCAGTACCCGTTGCCTATGTTGCACGCGCAGCCGCGACCGGGAAGTCCGAATCGGCCGCGGCCTCGGCTGATGGCCGAATCGGCTTGGTTCAGCCTAGGCCGACCAGCCGAGTTAAGTGCAGGATTTATTTTATTTTTTTTAACGCATGAAAAAAAAAAATGGGCGTGTAGGGCTAAAACAAACCTACACGCCCATATTTTTTGGGGGGGCATTATTGTTCTCGATTGCGTAACAAAAAATAAAAACAGAAAAAAGATAAAGAAAAAGAAATACTTTCCGAAACCCCGTGCAAGTATGTGTGTGTGTGTGTGTGTGTGTGTGTGTGTGTGTGTGTGTGTGTGTGTGTGTGTGTGTGTGTGTGTGTGTGTGTGCGAGATTAGGTGGGGGTTGGGGGGGCGACCCATCCCCCACCAATCAATCAATCAATCAATCAATCAAAAGAGAAAAACAAAAGTAAAAAATAAAAACCGTTTTTCTTGTTTTTTGTTTTTACTTTTTTTCTTTTCTTTGGATTGATTGATTGATTGATTGATTGATTGGTGGGGGATGGGTCGCCCCCTCAACCCCCACTCAATCACAC